GGTCACTCAGGTCTTGGACCAAGTGATTTTCAAGTGACCTGCTAAGGCAATTGGGTGTCCTAAATTGGCTGGCCCACCAAATGAGCTACTGGTGGGCAGATTCTCCTTGTACAGCTTTCTATTGTCCCATTAAGCACCATCTCCCTCAGCAGAAGGTCTGGGAGCTAGGCTTCTAAGCTACTCCAGACCTGGGTTAGCCTGCAGTGCTAGCTCAAAAGCAGCACTACATGTCCCAGCCATTGTCAGCTTGCAACTGAAGTGGCTTTATTGCTAGGATCTCCAGGTAAGAAACTTCAGATCACAAAAAACAAATCCTTGAAAACATGTCAATTTTCTTATGTATTAACAATTAAAATGTATTTGGTGTATAGATATAGTCACTTCTTTCTGACTTTGCCTAGTTTACATCTCAGGAGCCTCAGCTGACAGCAGTCCTGGTCCATTTCAGAACACTGAAAGACTGGCATGATCTCAATGCAAAAGATATTCCTAGTATCGTTTATAACCATGGTGTGTTGTAGCGCGACATGTTAAAATTAGGTGCACATCAGATTTTTCATTCGAAATTAATTGGTTCTGCAGCAAACCATGCTGCTTGTTAACCGCTTGTAGTAGGTTGGGGATCTAATTGACTGTAGACCAACTAGAAGTGAAGCTTCAAGAGTGGCACCTTGAGGTGGACTTGCAAGCGTAGGACAGTCCACTGTAGGTAAATTTTGCCTCCTGACAGATAAACAACCATGAATTAAATGGATCACTGACCTATCAAAAACTGAAAGTTCTTGGCAGCATTGCCCCTTTAGGTTACAACTGGAATTTCCTCCAAACCAACAAATGGTATCCATCTTAAAATTTCACATAAAGCCCTAGCCATCCAGATGTGCATCCTAATGCAAATCTGGCAAAGGCATTACTCAATATACTAAAATGCATGCACTGGCTGGCCAATTTGTTCCCAACTCCCACTCCACACCCTTAGGAAAATTATGTTCCATTCAGGTACTTTTCATTTGCATTGTGCTCTGTACAATTTATTTTTTTGAAAAATATGAAATGCATAATTATATTTAAACCCAAACCTAGTTCTAGAAAGGGCTGTATCCCTAATCAACAGATTAAGCATTAGGCAATTATTGAAGATCTTTCTGATGCAATAACAGCAAAGTCTTCTGTGAAGGCAAGAAGAAGTAACTTACCAGCAATGTTCCCAAGTGCCCAAACTGCCTGTTCACTTATTTGTGCATGTGGGGAGGAGATCAAAGCTATAAAGGATGGGATAGCATTTGCCTCTACCACAGCTTTTGTTTGATCAGAGGTACCAGATGCAATATTAGTGAGGGCCCAGGCTGCTTCAAACTGTAAAACGCTGTTATCATGGTATCCAAGGAACTCCACCAGTTTTGGTATTAGTCCAGCCTCAATTATATCAGTTAAGGGAGGATTCCTCTCACGAGACAACATTTTCCTGCAAGTAGGAGTATGAAGTCAGACACAAGACTTGAACATTTCATATACCACTTATTTTAAAATGCAACTGAAGCCAAAAGTTTTGTCTAGAGCGGGGAGGGATTAGAACCGTTTTTTATTGCAGTTTGTCCCAGTTTGGGATTCTTTCACATTCAGTGGTCACCAGGATGGGTGTAACCTCCCTAGGCTTTGGTTGTGACCAGAACAGGAATAGATGGTACAACTTCTAAAACAGGGACGCTAGTTCTGGTGACCCTGCTGACCAAGGATTTCATTCACTTTATGGCCATGGACAGGAAGTTAATGTAAATCTTCCCAATGCAGGGGGGTGGGGAGTGGTGCCGAGTTTTAACCCTCCCTTACTTTTGACACAGCAGGCATTACAGTATTAAAATGTGTGACTTGTTTAAACTACTGGCCAAACTGAGCTGAAGTGGTTTAGATACAAGTGAAAACATTTGTCAACATTACAGAACAAACCCAGTTGAATAAAAAACTAACCAATCAGCTTCAGTTTGTTCAGTTCAGATTCAAAAAGAGGCGCCAATTGGTTCCCATACACAGCTGCTCCAGATTTTGTCTGCTTTAGCTTTGATACATTTCCTTCAATGTCCTTACTTTTAACCATGCATGGTTCCCGTGTGGTTTTCATCATTAGTTTTTTTTGCATGTATGTATGAACAATAAAACAATTCTGTACTAACTTTAGCACGTGTTGACAATCAAGCCACTTCCCATATTTGAAGGGGTTTGATTGTACCCCCCTCAAAAATATCAAATAAAAAGGCGTTAGCTTTAAGTCGTTGATGTCAACCTTCATGCCAACAAAGGTTTAGCATTTTCAGTAAACCTTCTGTTATTTACCTTGTAGCCTGTGTACACTTCAGCTCAAGCTCTGAATCTCCAGAATGAATACCTTCTATTATTTCTTCCAGAGATAGTTGAGGACCCTGAAAAATAAAATGTCATATTTATGTTTGCATAAGGCCATGTCCCTCACAATAGGTCATGTGCAGTGGTTTACGAATTCAAAGAAAACGGCAGTCAGTAACGAAAGGCCCAGCTCTAAACTTAGGGCTCATAGCTGGCATAATTTTAATTGCATGTCGCAACCGCAGGGCGCCGAGAGCTTATTTAATTGCGGATGGCGGTTGTGGTATTCAGGATTGTGGGCGGCGTTGGACTACATGTCGGAACTGCAGGGCACAGATGCCATCCGCAATTAAATCAGCTCTCGGCGCCCTGCGGTTGCGACATGCAATGAAAATTATTAGTGCCCCCCAGATTTGATTGTGGTATCTTATGTGCCCCCCCTATATATTGTTCCTAGAGTCGCCACTGCCCATAGCTGGCATGGGAGATCAGGTGAGCTCTCTACACCATAGCTGGGATTGAAGGTCAAGTCAGATCCAGGGAGGCAAAAGGGCAGGAGCAGCCCATCAATGAAGAGTTGGTGTGGGCCGTGTACTACCAGTGTGCACAGAAACTGGCCCAGAGCTCGCTTGCACCAGTCCTCTATAGATTATGGTGTTCTGCAATGCTGTTTACTGTATTGCTGAGATTTGTAGCAGTAAATGCAGCAATTTAGACTGAAAGATTTATTGCGCATAAAACAATAAAAAAAACACCTCACACCGTACCAATAAGACAAGCAAAGCTGTAAAGTCATACAAAATGCTGAAGATCTAAAAAAAAAAAATTGCAAACCGATAATACGGCCAAACCCAAAAATAGGTAGACGCATATAAAAACACCAAGAGGCCGATGGAAAGAAAATAAAGGTGTCACATTACTGAGCAATGTTATCAGAGTTTAAACACACCTATATAGCGTTTTGTAGATGGGAAAATATGAGATCGCCAGGTAAAGGGAAGAGGAGAACAGTAGAAAAAGAGGAAAAGGGACAACTCAAAAAAGGAGAAAAAAAAAAAAAAGTCACGAGGGGAAGCCTATATATTGTAAAATGTTAAGGTGGGCTAAAGAGTCAAAGCAAGGTCAAAACGTGGAGGTTGAAAGTGGGATATCCAAGGTTGCCAAATTTTGGAGGAAGCGTGCGCATCGCTCAGAATGGCCATCAGGTTTTCATCAATCATTAACCACTGCGGTTTTTTGCTTGTCCACCTCAAAAACTCAATGTGGGGGGCTTCCATAATTTAGCCATCACCAACTTTGCAGGGGTAAAGAAATGACAAGTTAGAAGTCTGTTTGGACAGATTGGAAACAGGCTTATTTAAAGCAGAGCTTCACACGGGTCTCTAGCAAGATCTACAGAGATAAAAGGTAGAGAAGATTGTAGACCCTAATCTATAAGTGTCTGGCCACCATATATGATACATGGAGCCCCTCCCCGAGCAGCCCCAAAAGCAATGAGGTGAGTAACCTGGCATAAAGCTAGCAAGCCTAGTCAGATTGTAATACCAGCAGTTAAGGACTTTATACTAATTCTCCAGAATTAGAACGTTCCCAGAACACCGTGCTGTGGCCAACCAAAGTCTGCAGAAGAAATGGGAGCATCCACATCAGCCTCCCAGTGAGATGGTTGTACAGGAGATGCAGCTTGGGAGTTTAAAAAGGAATAGACAAGGTAAATCAGACCAGGACTATAAGGGTCATACCTACACCTATGTTCAAAAGGGGGTCAAGGAGTAAGGAGGTGAATGTAGGCACATTAGGGACAACAAAAAGTTGCAATTGTAGGTAGCAGTAGTGCTTGCGCAGAGGAATAAAATGGGAATCGCAAAGCAATTGAAGACTAACACCCGTAGGGGTAAGGAAAGAATAGACATCACAAAAGCAGTGATTTTCACACCAGTGAAAATGAAGAGTCCCTGCTAGGAAGGAAAAGGGAGGCGAGGGACAGAGCTGCAGAAGGACAAAAGGAAGTGATCCAGAACATTTCACCAAGTCGCAGATTCGGAGAGTGTGGGACATAGTTGGGCCAAATGGAGGGGGGACCCACAGTAAAGAGACGATCAGGAGAGGAGAATCCATAAAATCCAATAAGGCCCAACTCGGGATCTCCGCTAAATCACAAAGACGGGTCAAAAGGTGCAATGTCACCAACAGTCTTAGGTGCAAAGAGAATGTGTTTACCAACTCAGGGCCTGAACCTGTCCCAGATTAAATGAAGACGTTATCTTTGATAGATGCGCAAAATATGAACAGGGACATGTATAATATTCGCACTAATTTTTTTTTTATCCCCTGCTCAGCAGCAAACTGGGAATGAAACTAGGACTTGAATAACTGGGAGTCAAGAAGAGACACATATGAGCTCAGTGTGCTGCTCATTCACTGTGCTGGGGCAGTTAAGACCCAGTTGTATTGCTTCACTGCTTTGAATATTCAGATCTCTAGACTGTGCCACTTGTCAGAGCTCCAGAATGGAGAAATACATTTTCATGCCAGGTAAATAGACATGTGTCTTATTTATGTATTTAGCCACCAGGAGGTAACCCGGTGTGCTGTAGTGTATACAAAGAAAGTCTCGCTAGAGGAGAAAGTAGAGTAGAATACAATGTTTGCAGATTTCTTCATTTCCTCCAGTGGTTACTCTTCAGTCACTGCCTCCCAGTAGACTGATGAGCAAATTGCTAGATAGGGAGTGCATTTTGTAATGAATTGGTTGACTCAGATTTGCATTGTGAAGACCAATCGTAAATTACAACCATATTGTATTATTGCAAAGCAGAGACAGAATATGCACATGACAATATGGCTTTTCCTGTGTACACACAATCACAAGCAGGAAATTAAAGACTTAATAGCCAAGCACCCAAAACTATGGCATTACATTTTTAGATGCATTTTCTCTTCCTTTGTCACCGGTATAGACTTATGAGAAATAAATGGTACCTGTTGACTCTTTTGCTGTTCAGGAGAGTTAAGCAAATCATCTGGTAATGAAGACACATTTCTCCTCTTTTGAATCTGCTCATCTTTCTTGGCCTTTCTGAGCTCCACATTGACCTCCACTCTTCGTCGCCTTAGTTCCTGTATAAAATAGTTGGGTAATAAAAAGCGGGCACCATACACATGTTGAAAATGTGACTGTAGGACTCAAAAATCCTGCAGAAAGTATTGTGTAGCTATATTCATAAATAAAGAAGAACTTTTTTTAACTTTTATTCTGCAGTCACATGACTGCACAACATCCTTTTAGGTTGTTCTTCCCCACAGCAGGTGGGGGGAAGGCTGCTCTATAGTAGGTATTATATCACTTTCAGCTGGTGTACTAGCTACTACGGCTGGCCATGCCTGCAAGGGATCAGCTGGGAGACACTGTATGAACAAAGCAGGATTGGGTGGGTGGCATGGCCAGCTATACTCCATTCTGCAGCTATACAAGCTACTAGCAATCCTGCTTTGTGGATACAGTGGCTCCCAGCAGGATCCTTGCTGTCAATCAACACAGCAGGGACTGGGTTGGATCGTGGCTGGCCACAGCTGCTTATAGCATAGTGTGGCCAGCCATATAGCCTAAGTGACAGCATCAGGCATCTCCAAGGAGGAAGTCTAACTATGCAAACTGGCCACACCAGCTTGGATATGCTTCCATGCTTGGAATGGTCAGATTGCTGTAAGACAGAAAGGGGGACTGACAGGTTCACTAGGTATGTCAGCAAACCAATCAATACAAACATAAACAGACACGTACATGATAACTGTCATTTAGGGTAACATAGTTACAAAATTACCCTCCTCTCATTGCATTTGAAGAGGATCAACATCTGATACACCCAAATTATGGTTTCACTAAAATACATGCTGAAAACACCAATATTCACAGCCAATGAACAAGCCTTAACCCTTTCGCTGCCAAGCCCTCCGGAACATTTTTCAAATCAGCTGTCCAAGCCATTTTTGAATTTTCTGCAATTAGAACTGGCCTTCAGGTGTACCCAGGTGATTACCAATTCAATCATTTTTGGTTAGGTGTCCAGTTTGAGACCACCATGCCATGGAGCATCACCCTAGCATGTGAAGCATTATGACTACAGAACTCCTCCCCCTCATTCATAAGCTCTGTGGAGTACAGAACACGACTAACTAGGCAAGGCTGACAACACTGCTTAAAATTTTGACAGGAAAGGCACTGTGTCTCAGGCTCCGAAAGGAAGTTTCAAGCTCAATAGATTTCTGGCAGAAGCAAAGTATTTTTCCGTTAGCTTTTTACATTTAACAAAACTGAAAGTGGAGAACATGCTAAATAATTTTATTTTACCCACACACTATAAAAAGGTTGCCTTTTTCTTTTAACCCTTTTTGTGGCCACCAATGTATGCTATGCATCAGCAGCAGGCAGCTGTAAGCAGACTCCTACCAGGAGTCTTTACAATCTGTAAAGCCAACTGCAGGGCCGGCCTTAGGGGTGTGCGAGCAGTGCGGCTGGCAACAAGGGCGCCGTGAGGCCGACACAGCTCGTCCTGGGGGCGGCTTCTCTCCCCCTCACCGCTCCGCCATCCTGACAGCAGGCAGTGCTCCCTCCTGCGCCCCCCCCCCCCCCCCGGGGGGGGGGGGGGGGCGCAGGAGGGAGCACTGCCTGCTGTCAGGATGGCGGAGCGGTGAGGGGGAGAGAAGCCGCGCCCGCAGCTGTCAGGATGGCCAAGCAGGTAGGAGATCGGGGCCGCTGTCATCCGGTCAGTTTCAGGATGCCTCTGTATGAGTGCTTCCCATTCATTGAGTGCTGAGGCTGCTAAAAAAAGAAAGGATTTGGTGTCTTCAATTTCTTTTAAAATAGAAAAGGGAAATGTCAGGGGTCTGTTTGGACCCCTAATATTTTCCAAAGCCCCCCAACAGTAAAAAATTTAAAAAAAATGATTTTAACCACTTCCCGGCCGGCGTAAAAAAAACGGCCGGCAAGGAGCTCTCTAGATCTGAGCGGGAGTCTTTAGATGTCCGCTCAGCCACGCCCCCTCACGCGCACCGCTGGGCGCTCGCGAGCGGGAAAGCCCGTTATTTGAAAATGGCCAGCGATGCCTGTTAACATACAAGCGATCCGCCGGCTATAGAGCCGGCAGATCGCTTGTATGAGGTCCCGTAAATTGCGCCCTCCCCGCTGTCAAGCTGGTCCCCGGCTCCGCCGTGCCCAGTGCGAGCCCGGGACCAAGCTCCCTCCGGTCCCCTCTCCGCTGTCAGAATGCGGAACTGATGTATATTACACTGCCTGCTTTACACAAAGTGATTCAGGGGGCTGTAAAGCCGCCCAATCACCTCCATGAGCTGGCAAACATGCTCCTCCGTTTCCTGGGCACCACTGCCCCTTCTGCGGGTCTGAGAAAGGCATCTTGAGTGTCAGCACAGAGACAGGAGGGAGACCAGTGAACTTCCATTCGCTGATCTCCTCCCAGCTGAATGAACCCAGAAGAGTATGATTTTGCCACTTGGTTTCTGAGCAATTATTCCCCAGACAGGGAAGAAGCTGATCAAGTACAGACTGCAAGAGTGGATCAAGTACAGACTGCAAGAGTGACAGCAATAGAGGTGACATTAGGGGTCCAACTGAACACAAATGTCTTAGAGGACCTATCACCACTAAAATACCATAACATGGAGGGGCTTACATTTCATCTTTTTTTTTTTTTTAACACCCAAAATATTAATTAAAATAAAGGCACATGTGAACTTACTGCTGTGTCTTTGCCTTTATTCTTAAACTTTTTCATACGGTCATCTGTTTCATTTGTAGTCGGCATCTTCGTGTAACTGCTTTAATGCACACCGTAATACTAAGGGAAAAAAAATTTAAAAGTACAACTTAAAGTTAAAAGAGGAAGGGCACTTAAGTTCCTTCTGATATGACTTTTACAAGCTTGCACTTCCACATTTTTGTAATTGCATTAATTATGGATGTTTGTAGACCAGCTCCTATGTGGAGCTTTCAAAGACTATGCAATTGGTCGATATACATCATAAGCAGTAAAGCATGAAAATATAGTTGTATCAAAGCAAGTTGATGTACATTAGAAGCATTTATGTCTACACATGTACTCAAGAACAGATAGAGGGATGTGATCCTTCTTCTGGGAGAGCCCTTTCCTAGATGAGGGTTCTTCCCCTGCTGCGTGCCTGGCTAGAGCTCAGGACCTAGAAGGCTTGGCCCTCTTTCAGGTTAAAGTTAGTCTCTCAAAATAATGTACATGCTGTACACCCCCCACCCACCCCACAAAACAGTACCACACATCATATTTTAATATGTGCACAAAATAGGTTACAATAATGCTCTGGCAGCAGCTTCGGACAAGTTGCTTCTTCTACAATCTGTAGCCCATACATAGAAGGCCTTTTTCCCCACCCACAGTGACATTGTCACCAGACAGGAAGAGAGGACATCTCCTACAGCAACAGACTGAAATAAGAAAGCTTTTCATTAGTAAATTAGGTGAAGGCTAGAACCTGTCAGGTTTCTATCACGGTCTGAGTCCTATTGCAGATTTTCCCTCACCTCCTGTCTGCTGAAATCGTCATCACCGCGACAGTGCACAGCAAACAGTTAAAACCCAAAAGGAGTTCAAATCTTTCTCCCTTCCATCCCAAACTAAAATGTTCCTGCTGGACACTTTAAAGTGAAAATCTGGTGGAAAAACAACACATTTGCAATGCAAATAACAAAAAAACAAACAGTCATCAACTGAAACAAAAAACCTTGGGTGAGGAACAGCCAAACTGCTACTAAGGTGAGGTTGTGGAAGGCCGTTTCAGGTCACACACCATGGCAAGACTCAGCAAGGTCTCTTCCAGGCAGGGGCGTAACTAGAAACCACAGGGACCCATAGCAAAAGTTTGATGGGGCCCCCTTCCCCCAAAAAATGCAATTGAACCCCCCCCCCCAATGTTGCCACTCCAAAACGCTTATATGTGCTGCATACAGTTTCTAATAAATCTAAATGGAAATATAAAAAAAATAAATTTTTAAGTGGAACCCTTAGACCAGTAACGTCATCCTACCGGAGTCCATAGCAATAAGTCATTGTTGGTCCTGAAAGAGTTACTGCCTATGAGCTGTGCCGACAGGCACATTTGCCAGACTTGAAATAAAGATTAAAATAAGTATTTTCACTGAGATTAGAAAACTATGCAGCAAATATATATGGTATAAAATTAATTTCAGTACAGCGTCGTATGATAAATGTCAAAGTACCACAGCGCTGAATACTGAAAAATGGCCTGGCCACAAAAAAGAATAAAAAACCAAAAATTTTTTGTAAAGTTCCCACACATACATACACGCATGCAAACATGTGTTGGGGGCGCATACGTGCAAATAAGACGATTGCGCCCATTACGCGGCACATGTTACATATCGCCGCGAACGTTGGAATGAGAGCAATCATTCAAGGGCCATCAATCACTGATAACACTAAACTGATGAGCGGTAAAAGCTTTTAAAGTGTCACCTATGGCAAATTTTGGGTATGGTAGTTTTTTCTGCGGGTGCGCGCAATTTTAAAGCTTGACATGTTTGGTGTCTATTTACCCGACGTGACCCGATCTTTTATATTTTACCAAAAAACTGGGTAATAAATGTTTCCTATCATAATGTAAAAGAAAAACTTTTTTTTTCTTCAAAATTTTCTGTAATTTTTCCTAATTATAGTAAAATATAAAACCCCCAGTGGTGTTTAAATACCACCAAAAAAAAACTATCTGTCCCAAAAAAATGGTATAAAATTCATTTCAGTACAGCGTTGCATGACGGAATGAACGTCAGTCAAAGGACTGCAGCGCTGAACACTGAAAAATGGCCTGGCCAGGAAGGGGGTCTAAACACCTGGTCTTGAAGTGGTTAGCCACGATTGGGGTGCCATTAGAAATTGGCACCGCAAGCACAGTTTGCATTTGTGTGCGATTCCGGGATTGCCGCGAGACCTTGGTTCACTCAGATGTGAATGGAGCCCAACTACTGTAAGCTGGAGATGGGGGGGGGTCTGGGTTTGTGCACAATGCATAACTACACTAAGGCTTGGAAGTATAACGCTGGGTTCACACCTTAGCGTTTTGGAAACTCGCGTTTGCCACGCGTTTCTTACCGCGGTTTGCGATTAAAGAAACGCGAGGCAAACGCGAGTGAGGGGGTATCCGACCATATCCTGATGGATACACGCGTTAATACACCCCCAAAAGAAGCTCATGTACTTCTTTGGGCGTATGGCGTTTTACCACGCGATCGTACGGGCAATAAAACGCACAGGTGAGAACCAGGCCTAATGTTAACAATGCTGCCACCAATAAAGCTTCTCTGGTGGCTGCAGTGATAATTATACCACCCCCACCCCCCACCCCATGTTTAAGTGAACATATGCATTGTATACAAGCAATGTACTCAGCAGACACTGAACTGCCTTATCACCGAAACATTAATCACCCTCCAGGTCGGGTCACACAACTTCTTGCAGCTGCCCGATGCGATGGAGAGCACACAGAGTGCGGATCAGCCCGGCTCACCTCAGTATGCGGTTTGCATACGTGAAGGAGGAATGTCCAGGAGGCATCCATGATCATGTCATTCCTTTTAGTATGCCCCCTTCTAAAGAGCTGAGATCGGGAGCACTATCCAGCTCACGCTGATAGGAAGGAGGGGTCAAGCACTCGGAGATGCTCTGTATTACTGGGTCGGAAGACGGCCGAAGAAATGTTTGTAAAAGTTCTCATCCTCACCGGGCCCCCCAGCAGCCGCGTGGGTTGCTATGGCGGTAGTTCCGCCACTGCTCCCAGGTAAACATTTCAAAGCATACTGTGGTTTCAAGATGTGCTGTTCAAATTCTTTTGAAGAAGCACAAAGAATCAGGCAATGTTGTGGTCAGCCAAGGAAACCTAATGCAGCTGATGAGACACATCATGCTTACTTCCCTTTGACATCAGATGTCCAGCAGTGCCATCAGCACCAAACTGGCAGAAACCAGTGGGACCCAGGTACACCACATCTACTGGCTGAAATCATTCTTACTCTATAGCATTTCCCACACCTGCCTTTTGCATAGTACTGTGGATGTGAACCAGCCACATAGGGAATAGGATTTCATCATGGAACACATCATGCAACAAAACCTGACAAGTTTCAATAGGCCCTCAAAGTCATTATTGTTGGTACCCTAAACAAACAAGCAATTAACCCTTGTAGTACATGTGTGCAAAGGGGCTCCAGGGGGCAGGCACTTATCATGAATGCAGTTTTACCAGTCATTAGGTATGGAGGTTGCATGAGTTTCCCCTTTTCCAGGCTTTTTTTTTTACCCAAGTACACCACAGTGCTTACTGCACCTATGGAGGAACTGCATCATTACCCTAGACCGCATTGGACTACAAGCACCTCCCCATTAAATATAGGGGGGGGCTAGGGGGGTTGTTTTGCAATCCACAGAAGAAAGCTCATAGCATTGGAGATGTCAGGTTAATGCAAAAAAACAAAAGACAAAGACTGCAGATTAGTGAAAAGGATTCACCAGTCATGTTCTGTACTAGCAGACAATATACTTCTGAAAAACAGAACTCTCCTAGAGCATTCACATGTAAAGACTGGTGAGCTGCCATTCATGTTCTTGACTTGAGGTATCATCTAATTCTATGTACTAAACTACAACCTAGACAAGCCCAACCCCAGGCACTCTGTTCTCTGCCACTCCTCTTACCTACACAAATCTGTCCGCAGACACCACCCTGACCTGCTCTGACACCGGCCTGCGCCTTATAGCTCTTAGCTGGGCGCGGCCGCCATCTAATTATTCAATTAATGAGAACACGTGGGGTCCCGGTTCTCCTACAAACCCAGGCGGCTGTAATGTGTTTTTTCCATACAGTAATATTGTGATTAATATGTTTAGACTATAAGAAGCACACACATTGCTGACATGACTGCCACAAACTAATAGAATGACATTCCATTTCACGTTACGTCATCCCTTCCCGGGGCTGCGCATGCGCTCAGGGGCTGTGTGATTCGGGAGGTGCCCGGGCCGCGTATCGCGCATGCCTACTGCCTTTCTGCTTCCTGTTGCAGACTCCATTGTATCGACAGGTTCGCGTTGACTGACCAGAGTCCGCGAATCTTTTTATCCCAGGTGAGTGACCGTTGGCGGTGCAGACTGCACAGGCGACATTATATGAGCTGCCGTATGACAGACAGGGGCCATAGCTGTCAGCAGGCGGACCTGTAAGGGAGATCTAGGGCTCTAGTGATGTGTACCTGCCATACATTGCTAACCTGGAAATGATTGTATGTCATTCGCCTTATATATGTATTTGCTTTGACTTTGTATTGGTTACCGTGTATGAAATCGGTGTCCTGGTGAGTGCTCTTTCCGATGGATCTATGCTTTGCCCATGCACGGCAGACAGGTCCACTGTTGCTTCTAGTAATACCCGCCTAGGCCTTGCCTGTAGCAGCATATAATTAATACTGACCTGTCATTTCACAGCTAGTATTGAGTGCCTGGTCCCCTCTGTACTGCAGGACAGCATAGTGATTGGGGGCCCATTCACACCAGTGGCAACATTAGGACATAGCCGCTGATATGCTCTTTCTACAGAGCATCTAACTAACGCTTATTTTCTAGGTAAAACTTTATTGAAATGTCACAAAGTGCAATTCCATTCAATTCTATCAGCCTCAGTACGGTTGGATGCAGTTGATTGCATCTTGCCATGCTACAATGAAAAATGTACGGCATGGACCAGTTTGCAAGGCAAATGTCCTTTTCTTTGGGTTGAGAGGTCCTA